TTGGTCGCGACCCGATTTTGGTCGTGTCCCAAATCAAATTTTCCCATAAGGTTCAATGTAAATACGGTTAACCTGTTCGGACCCCTCCGAATTTGGTCGCGACCCGATTTTGGTCGTGTCCCAAATCAAATTTTCCCATAAGGTTCAATGTAATTACGGTTAATCCGTTCTGAACCATATGTATTTTTTTTTTAAAACCGCAAAAATATGAAACAAAATACAGTACGAAGAGAGAGAACGCTAACCTTGCTCAACGCGACTTCTGGCGTGGAGGACAGGAAGGCGGGGGGGGAGGCGGTTGTTTGTTGGAGGGAGAGTCTCCCTCCCTACAGGAAGCCACGAACACGTGTCGCGGGAGGGAAAATGGCCCCGGATCCTGTTTGCCACCCAATCCGGCATTCGCGAACGGAGGCAAAATTTTGCGAACGGAGTTGTTCATGACCCGAATTGGTCGTGAACAGAAGCGTTCGTGACCCGAGGTACCACTGTATGTCATTCTCAAATGTTAAAATAAACAAACCAGACACAGCATGCATCCATTTCAAAATAAGTCTCTTTATAGAAAGGTACTTTTATGTAGAGGTAATATAAAGAGTAAGATGATTTTTCAGAATGTATGGAATGACTGGGGAGATATTCAATTTCAAATACTTTTTTAAAACAAAACTTTTAGTGTACCAGTAAGGACAACTAATAAATATTTTTATTGCTATTGTACTATACTTTTAAATTCCAGTTTACAAGATGGAAAATATTCACAGACTTGTAAAAAAAGTAATCTTACCATGTTTTCTTGATTGTTTATTTGTCTGCAGCATGTAGATGTACTATGATATATATTCTACTCAAGACCATACATAAAAAGTAATATTTTGTTTATCAAAAGTTCATTTTCACCATGAAACCTGGCAAAAGTGCAAAACAGTTCTGTTTTTAATATGTACAGTGTTTTGAAGAGTGGCTAGTGTGGAAAATTCCAAGTGAAGAATATACCAGTCCCATTCATGTGCTGGTTCTCAAATTTGGTGGCACTACACCAAATAATAAGCCTTAGATGTTACCAGTGTGGTAAGCAGTTCAATTACAGTGGCATTCTAGGTGTACCATTAAGCGTGGCCCTCTTGTTCTTCTGTACTTGGTTCTGATGCTTTTGTGCTTTGACTACTTTCATTCTCACTTCAAACACTTCATGTATGGCTTTGCGGAAGCAGTGGAAGTTGTAGTCTATTAGTCCTAAAGAAAAAGAAAACAAATGTGAATCTGTTTATCTAGTCTGAAAACCAAGGGGCCTGTTGAATATCCCACCTCTACCAAAGTTTTATGGGGTGTGGGGCCAGGTGGCAGCCTTTTCAGTGGCAATCCCCAGACTTTGGGATACTCTCTTCACAGACGTATGTCTGGCTCTTCTTACCCTTCTCGTGTTTCCTAAGGGTTTGAAGATGGTCTTGTTCGGGTGTCCCTTTTAGCTTGGACGATGGGGCAACCATCATTCTGACATAGAATGCTGAAATTCATTCCATGCATCACCCCATTACCCATAGTATCTCAAAAGGTTTTCATTGTAAACATTTAAGTATCAGATGTTCAAGTGGAAAACATGTCTCAATGCTTTCATTGGCTAAACAGTTACACATTTTTTGCTATTTCTATTTTGGTGGAATGCTAGCTGGAAGCATGCTGGCTGGGGAATTCTGGGAGTTGAAGTCCACACATCTTAAAGTTGCCAAGTTTGAGAAACACTGTGTTAGACTGTATTATCAAGACAGAGAAATATTTTCTTACAAAGGAAAACAAGATAGTAGGTAGGTTTAGGCAAAGAAGTTGAGTACCTTTTCTCTCAAAGCTTTCTTCTCTGACAAAGCAGACTAGTGCAAGGAACTTTGTCACTTCCTTTAGGTAAAGGACTGTTGTATTGTTCAATTTTATTATTGCTGTTGATTCTTTATCATAAGGTGTTCCAGCACCATCTTGTTTGAGCCTTAATAGCAATGGATTAAGGTGAAAGAAGAGAGTGGGGAAAACACAGCATTAATTTACTTCAGTCTAGAAGCTGCATTCTTTTTTTAATATTATTTAAAGACAAATTACAGACTGTATGCTTAGAGTGTGTCTAAATATGATCTACTGCATTATAAAACAGATGTGATAGTAGCAATGAAGATAACTACAGCAAATTAAAAGGATTTGTATTAAACATAAATCTTATTACAGTTATAGATCAGTTTATCATTAATAAGTTATAGACTAGTATAACATTAATAAGAATTACAGCCATTTCAGTAATAACAATGTAACCTGTGAGATGTAAATGATACATAAAAGCATTACTAACATAGTGCTATGTTAAAATTTTAAGATCCACATATAAAAATTCTTAGTATTAATACTAAGACTATAAACTAAGAAGTGAAAAAAACAACACAGAATACAAAATAGTATAAGAAAACATTATAATTAATCTGTAATAATAATAAAAATATGGGAACAGTTCTCATCTCATCTATTTATGGTAACAGTTTGGATACAATTAAAACATAACATATATTAAATACATTTTTAAAAGTTGGGGAAAAAACAAAGAAAGGTGCAAACAGAAATGTGTTGGATGAAGAGATGGATGTTCAACAGGTGCCTTAAAATCATAAGAGTGGGACTTTCCAAATACTGCAGAGAAAATGGACTCTATTGCAGAGATAACTTACTTGCAACAAACCACAAATGCTAATCTGCATGTACAGATTTTCTATACTGGTAAAAAGATGACAGGTTATCCTGATCTCAAATCATTTAAATGTCATATTCCAAAAAACAAAAAATCTTGAATTTGGTTGAGTAGCTAATTGGCAACCAGTCAAATTGCTTCATTAGGTGTTCTACTCTCACTGTTCCACTGTGTACCCCTGCAGCTTCTGAACTATGCGTAAAGGAAACCACAAACAGAATGCACTACTGCAAAATAAGTGTGAAGTTATCAGGGGTAACTGATTTATAGATTTGTTATAGATTTGTAACTGGTTATAGATCCTCCTGGCCAAAGAGATCACAAGATGATTTTAATCATATCACCAAATTATATATCTGTTAGACCCCACAGGATTTAGCCACCCAAATCAGTTTCATATATTTCAGGGATGCGCTGAGAAGTAAAAAGTAATAACAAAAAGCAAAATAGCCTCTCTCTGCTACCAATAGACAGCTACAATTTAATTATTTTTCTACAAGTTCCTTTTTAACATCAAATAATCTATTAACTACAAAGAGTTTTTCTGAAAACATGACTTCACAACATTGTTCCCCATTTTCTTTTATAACCAAATAAAGCACAATACTTTATATTTAACCTCTATGTAAAAAGTCAAATATCATATCTACCCAAAAGGAAAATCATCCTGTCCTCCACAAAGGAGAGACAAAAAGTCTCTCTTAAAAAAAGATTAGAAATTTAGCAACCTCCCCCCTGCTTCATTACCAAATTCTCATCCTATCTAAAACAACTTTCCCATTTTAAGGATAAATTATTGGGTAATAAACTAGCCTTATTTTCATATCCTCTTCTTTATTCATTTTTCTCCCTTTCACCTCAACTTTTTCCATTCCAGTCAGTGCACTTCAAAATTGCAGCACCACTCTGATCCTTATATGTTTGTGTATCTGTGTGTACATGTATGTATGCGTATAAAAACTGCATGCAGCATGACTTGATTCTCATTGATATTTTCAAGATAATTTGAACTACTGTTTTTCCAAGCTTTGAGAAGAGCAAATTTATAGCATATCATTGTATATGCAAATATTAGGTTTTTCATTACAAATAAACTGTCATGTGATGATTATACATTAGCTGCAAACAAGCACAAAGGATAGCAAAAATACTCTTACAAACTTACCCATAGATGCAGGAAATGTCAATGACAACATCTATCATATCACAGCTGAGCTCATAAGTTTGCATGTCCACTGGGGTACTATCAGTTGCAATATAAATTTTACTTACTACATCAAAGAGAAATGCTTTCTCAATTCCAGAATTCTACAAGGGAACATGGATTTTGTTACAAGGAACCTAATATTTATACAATAATGAAATAATATATAATACATAATATACATATTACACACACACTATACATAATACAGTATAATATAGCTTCCCAAAGTCACTGGGAGTCAGGCAGCATATAAATTTAATAATAATAATAATAATAATAATAATAATAATAATAATAATAATAATAGGAACAGCTTATATCCTGCAACAATATCTTGAACACCATGAAACAACATCTGCCTTCCCTCCTGGGAAGGACTTAATAGGTGGATAAAAATGCCAAATCCAGTCTAAACATGGCTATGTGACCAACCAACATCATCATCATAAAACATTGCACAATAGAGATAACTTTCCTAGAACTCTAGGATTATCTGGACTGCTTTCAGTCAGGATTCATACTCGGTTATAATGCTGAGATGGCACTAGTTGCTCTTCTTCATGACCTTTGGTGGGATCAAGATGGGAGTACTCATCCATCCTGGCCTTTTTGGCAACCTTGGATACCACTGATCCTGGTATCCTTCTGGACTGGCTCAGGGGATTCTCCTCCTTTCTTGAGTTAGTGTTGGCAGGTGGGAAAGATTGGACCCAAGGACCCTGCTTTGTGGGGTTCCTCTGGCCTTTACTCTCTCACCACTTCTATTTTGAATCTACATGAAGCTGCTGGGGGAGGTTGTCTGCCAGCACATCTCTGTGGTCTATGTATCCCAATTATTCATCTCTGCCACAGGCCAACCAAGTGATGCAATTCTTTGTTGATGTCTGAAAGCTGTGGGGGTCTGGAAGAGGGAAAGAATAGGCTTCAGCTGAACCCTGGCAAGACTAAGTGGTTGTGGGTTTTGAGATCCTTCTAGATCTGGAGATTTTCCATCCCTATTTCTGAAAGGGGTTGTAATCCCCCAGACAGAACAGGTGTGCAATTTGGGAATCCTCCTGAACTTGCAGCTCCTGCTCAACAAGCAGGTAGCAGTCATGGCTAACAGGACCTTTGCACAGGTCTGCCTTGTGCACCAACTGTGCCTGTTTCTGGATTCAGAGGCCTTGGTCATGGTGATAAATGTCTTAGTCACTTCCCTTTGGATTACTGCTATATACTCTACATGGGGTTGCCCTTGAAGAGCATTCATTAGCTGCAGCTAGTCCAGGATGCAGCAGTGCAGGCAGTCTGAGGCATTCCATGATACACCCACAAAACACCTCTGCTCCAAAAGCTGCACTGGCTCCCAGCTGGCTTCTGGGTGTAATTTGAGGTGTGGTTATCAACTATATGGCAGTTATTTGCATGACTGCCATCTCCAGTTGTCTCTTCCCACATCACCAGAATTGGCAGAGTCTATGTGCTCTAGGTCCCATCTATTAAAAAATGTCATCTTGTGGGAGCTAGGAGTCATACCTCACTTGCTTGGTGGAACAGCATTCCCACACAGATCCAGATGTTAAAGATCTGAATGTCCCCATTAGTATTTGATCTGGGAGGTTAAGTGAGCCCCACTGGCTAGTTGTTTATTGTTTCAGTAACTGTAGTGGCATGTGGTTCATTATCTTTTTTTGCATTTTGTTTAATAAAGTGCATTATTGCTTTGGTTTTAAGCTTGCATACCACCTAGAGTCATGTTGGTGAGATGGGCAGCAATATAAATTGCATGAATAAATATATAAATAAATCCACCATTCACTCAAGGCAGGAACTGGTGGATCATAAGTGGTCTTTGGATTCCAAGTTCTAAGCTATTATTATTTTATAAACACTGCACATTTGGTAAAGTAATAAATGTTAGACTGCACAGCACTTTTAGTGTTTAATACAGAATCTCATAATAAAATAATAGCAATATTTTTCAAAACTTTAAAAAATTAAAATGTGCTTTTGCAATAAACATGCAAGATATAGGAAGTACATGCACATACAAAGGTATTTACCGAGATAAAAATGTTAAGCAAGTTTTCCAAAGTTGGAAGCTGTGGAATTAATTTCTGAACCACTTTGCTGAATGCTTCAAATATAGAATGGTCATATATACTTGTCAAATAAAAGCTGGAAAAAGAAAAAAAAATCAATATAATAATTTGAAGTAAACAATTGTGAAGAGCTTAGTTAAAAAGATAAAAAATGCTGAAAAAATAACATAATATTCTGTTTTGTTTTGTAAGCAACACTGAATATATTGCTGGGAAGCACAGTAGAAACTGAATGAATGGCAAAAAAAGAAGAGCACTAGATTTAAAAAAAATCTAAATTGTGACTTGATCTCACAATTTTCAAGGAATTTATTTTCAACAGATGGTGGGTTAATGGTAACAAGATTCATATTCTTCCTAACTGGGTTTATAGCATCTTGTGAAGTGACTTTAATGAAATATAGTTAGTCTTCAGTTAATGCCAGTAACTGGGACCTGCAATTCCATCGCTAAGCGACACAGTTGTAAAGTATGATGTTATGTGATTACGCTGACTTACAATGGCAGTTCTGGCAGTTCCAGTCACAGTCGTTAAGTGAATCCTGTGTGGTCGTTAAGCACGATGTTACGTGATGGCCATTTGCGACCTCCTCCCGGCTTCCCCATTGACTTCACTTGTTGGAAGGCAGCAATGAAAATCACAAATGGCGATCACGTGACCGCAGGACACTGCAACTGTTGTAATTGTGAGCTAGTTGCTAAGTACCCGAATCGCAATCAAGTGACTGCAGGGATGCTGCAATGGCCGCAACTTCGAGGACCGGTCTTAAGTCTCCTCGTTCAGTGTCATCATAACTTTGAATGGTTGCTGAACGCACGGTTGATACCTGAAGACTATCTGTAAAGTTCATTATCACACAAAGTCAATTAAAATGTTCTATTGTATCATTGAATTATTTTCAATGTAGTGAATTATGTCACTACAAAAAACAGCATGTCACTACAAAAAACAGCAAAAGTGTATTCTCAATATAGTTTTCTCCAAGTCAGGAACATCAACAACTTTGATATTAGTAAAATGCATCACTTTACCACAGTCTTCCTCCCCAAAGTGGTGCCCTCTAGAAGTATACTACTCTGAGTCATACTGACTGGGAATGACTGGAATACTTGCCTCTGTCAATTAAAAAAAAACTATTGTTTTAAGTATGGCTAACACCAGCAAGCACATTTGGTAATTAAATACTGTAACTAAAACTAATAAAAAACAGCATTTCAAATTCACTTGATCTTTCACATAGATAAACCATGGCTCTAAGCTTACTAAGACTTTGCCTAAGTTTGACATTACCATGTTTCTTTTAATGTTACACATAGCTTTCCTTTTTCTCCCCAGCAAACTCCAGTCATTGCAGTGTTTTTCTCACCTCAAGTGGATTTTTTCTAATCCAGCATCTGCAAGATCATCATTTGCCCGCTGATGAATGTCTCTTTGTGTTTCAATTTTGTGATCATCAGATAATCCATCAACTTTGTGAATAAATATTTCAAAGTTTATATCTGGATTTACTTTATATGCTCTTGTCACAGTAAGATGCAATCTAGCTAATGCTTCCATATAGTCATCCTAAAAAAAAGAATTGGATAAAACATGTGACTTAAAATTTCAGCCTGAATTCTTTTTATTCAAAAAGTATTATGTGAAACTTCCATTCCATTAAAATAGTACTTCATTAACAAAAAAACAAAAACAAAACAAAAACAAAAAGAGAGGAGTATTTCAACAAGTTATTAATCATTAACTCTGTCCCTATTTAAAGAATATGAGCTGATATTCTTACGACTACCTAATCCAATGTTCTATTCCCACAATGGCCAACACTCATGCTGTTATTCCCTAGCAGCTACTGCTGATACACCTTGCATCTGACATTGGAGACAATACAGACACATCATCGTTAGTAATCACCAAAAGCCTTAACCTCCTTCGTTCTGCCTATTTAAGCAGTTCCTTAACACAAGTTAGTTCCTCGTTATATATTTTATGTTTGTTACGCTTATATGACACCTTTCCTCAAAGTGCTCAAGGTAGCGTACTTAGCACTCCTTTCTCTAATTTTTCCCTACAAAAATAACCTGTAAGTTGGGCAAAGAGGGAATGACTGACCCACAGTCACACCGGGAGCTGAGAGTGGATCTGAATCTGGATGACCTTAAGCACTATACCGCACTAGTATAATCATAAACCATAATTGTGCATTATATGTAATACGTATTAAAAAACAGGCTACTTCTGCCATGCTTACAGTGGTTTCAACTGAATGGTGTTTTGAACATATTGTAATTATTTAATTAATATTTATCTATTTTAATCAATATTTATTCT